AAGAAAAAAAAAAAAAAAAAGCAGCGCACGGAGGGAGACATAAACCACCTTGCAGAAATTTCAAACAAATATCGCAGCGGACAGAAATCTCATCTGGAGAGCAATAAAATGGACATTTACAGTGCAGGGGCTTTAGGGGAGCTACGGGATAGGTTTCCTTATTTATATAATTCCCCATGTTTATTGTTGGAGAAGTCCGTGTTCTTGCCGGTCAGGTGTTTTCGACGGAGTTACAGATCATTCTTCAGGTGGAATTTGGTTTCTTCTCCCTTAAAACGTTAAGGCTAAATCCCCGCTTTCTTCGTTGGTAGCTTCCCCCCCCCCAGCTTTTTACAACTGAATTAAAACCCAAGGCAGATGCCCTATGGCAGAGATAAGAGCCCGCGCCTCGGAGAAGAGCGCCGTATTTTTAGAGGTGTGGGGTTTTTGTTTATGCGTGTTTTAAGTCCAGGGATACATTTTCATCTCCTTTATTTTTAAATATTTGGAAAGCTCAAACTAAAATAACATCAGTGCTTTAAGTCCCTGCCTTGCAGTAATGGAAAATATTTCGAAAAGCCCCTGTCTTCAGTGTGTATCCGAGGGCTTCCAAGGATTTGTCAGGTGTGTTTGCTGATGTCTCTGTACGCGCTGCACACAGGTTTGGTGTCACACCTGGGGGCGTGTAGGGGTGGGTTTTTTTTATATCTGCACACAGAGCCGTTAATACACATGGGGGGTGGTTGAAATATATGTATTTCAAACATACATATTTATAGAAATATGTGTTTTTACTTTTTTTTTTTTTTTTGGCAAATCTCCCCTCCTGTTTCAGCGGTTTATGTATAGAGGGAAGTAACTTGCTTCCAAAAGTTCTCACCGGATTTGTTCAAAGAAGGGAGAGTCGAACTCCTGGTGAAACAAATAATTAAGAAAAATAGGAATAGGCGAGCAGGCACACGAGTAGGTGAATAAACAAACCCGCCAGCCTCGCAGTTACTATTCTGCCTTGATAAATCGCTTGTTTCGCCTCAGCTGGGACCCGGGGCGGCACCCAACCATCTCCCACACCCCAGGGGAAGGATGCACCCATCCTCTGCCCGAGCCTTTCAGGGGGGTCCATCTGAGAGTGTGGCGTTGCCTTTTCGTTAAATGACACCCCCCCGCCCCCCTCTCCGCAAACACACGCACGAAAACCACCTTGGAAAACTTTCCTTTCTCCGCTTTTATATTTATGTAATTTCTGTACTTTATTTTTTGGTGTTTTTTTTTTTTTTCTTTATTTTTTAATAGGCGTATGTTCCCCAGTTACAAAGTGAAGGTCACTGGACTCAATCCAAAAACTAAGTACATACTGTTGATGGATATTGTACCAGCGGATGACCACAGATACAAATTTGCAGATAATAAATGGTATGCACGCGTGGGGGCAAGGGGAGGGAGGGGAGCTCCGTGCCGGGCTTTCCGGGCTGGCCAAACCTGGGCAGCACGGGTTGGGGGATACCCTTGAATCAGCGGCTCATCCTTCTTTTTCCCCTGCGGAGGAGAGATGTCGGGCTGCTTGGGGCTTCACCTGAGCCCCCCGGGATGCTCCCGCAGTCCGTGGGAGAGAAACGCATCAAAAAAAAGGAGAAAAGTCTGTCGCAATTAGCTAACCGTAACCGTAATCCTGTTTGACCGTGAGATTATTGGCTTTTGTGGAGCCGATGGTTTAATTATATTAAGGAAGGGAATACCTCCGGGCAGGAAAATCTTTAAGGATCGGTACACGGCCAGTCCTTTGCTCCTGGCTTGGGTGCCGGGAATTAGGGAGGCGGGGGGGAAGGATGGGGTTAAACGGGGAAACAGCGAGAACCATCTCCGACAGGAAAGGTGCCAAAGAGCTCAATTAATTCCCCGAGCGGC